TCTTACGCTGACTGCACGACAATGCGCTGAGGGGTCACTCCCTCTCCAGCGCACCCCCAGTTAACAGTCAACAACATCCTCGTCTCACAGGTAATTCCAGACATGCCCTTTGGAAAACGTAGCTGAGCGCTCGAGTCTTCCCAGTAGAAGAGGAAATGGTCGCCGCCAATTGGGCCCAAGTTGATAGAGCTTGAGGCGGCGGGCAACTGCGTTAGCAGACACTGCAACTTTTTTCGGGTAGCTGGAGTACTGAAGTGTAAAGCTCGGGTAAAGTCTGGACGCTGTAGAGAAAGAAAGGTGACGCCGAACGGAAAAAGAAACAAGTATACGAAACAAGAAAGTAGTCCATCATTTTGGACTTTCAAAACTTTTCGGGATTTATATCGTTTTACACAACATCTGTGAGTGAAACATACGATAATTGCTTATTAAGGTAACTAACAAAAGTTCACCAAACCCAAAAAAGAGAACATCAAGTATGGCCTGGCTGCGTAGGCAGTGGGTCAACGGAAACAGAGAAATCTGGGATGACTGGTGGGAAGATGCGGCTGCAGGTGGGTGTACCTGTGCGGTTGCTCCAGGTGAGGTTGGAGGCGGGTCTTTGTAGAAAGCGACCTTGAGACCCTCGATGGACACCGTCGTTCTGTGACCATTCTGAACAAAGGTAAAAATGTTCGGAGTTCGTTGGTTTGCTCTAATGGGGCCGGCGTAAGTTGGCTGCAATGGACGACGCACGGCGTCTGTGCGAGCGAAAACGTGAGTGCAAGTAGGACGTCCGCGTTGCTCATGAGAAGGGATCGAGCGCAACGTTGAAAAATGGAATATGCGAAGTTAGACGGTAGTGTACACGATGGTGCTGGAGGCGAAATAAATTCGGGTGACATTCTAAGTCTTGTACCGTAGACAAACTCTTCTTTTACATACTTCAGGTCAGGTTGGGTAAGAAATGTTTTGCTCCAGTCAGGGTCAGAAGCGGCACAGAGAAACAAAAAGTTGTCAATGAAAGCGCCCAACTAGGTTATCGGATGCGGGTTGGTATGCCGTCATGTGAGTCAGGTGATAGCCTAAAGAGTTGCGGAACATATCAGGTTGTAATGATTCGAAAGGTTTTCTAAGATTGCTTGCGGTGCGGAAAGCGCGGTAGTATTGGAAGAGCCAACGGTCCAAGAAAGCACAGATGAGAGTTGCGACCATGCATTTAGGTGCATACATGGCTTTTGGCCAGCTAGTGAGGCGGTCGACACATATCAGTATGTATACGAAACCGAGAGAAGGAAAGAGGTGCTCTAACAGACTAAAGTGGACATGAGGGAAACAAGAGTCTGGATGAGGGAATAAGCCGAGAGGACTGCGGGGGTCACTTTAAGCGCTGGCAGTGAACCAAGAAAAAGCGAAACGAACCGTTCTTTGACCACTTTCAGAGACACAAGAACATCAGGATGAGAAAAAGAGTGAAAGGTGTCAATGACCTTGCGCTTGAAAGAGACAAGCAGGAGGGGTCTAAGACAACCTGTGGAAGTGTCACAAAGAATAGTTTCGTCCGTAGTTTGAAGAGGAACGGGCTGTACATGCTGTGAAGTGGATTGTAAAGCGAGTTTGGAGGTCCTCACCCTGAGCTTGAACGCATGCGGCGGCGGTAAGTTCAATAGTAGGTACAGAATGAAGCGTTATCTTAACGCTAGAGAGATCGTCAGCGTCGGATTTGGTGACATCTGAGCCATGAAGTATGTCAACAATGAACGATGTGATATAGTCTAGGTGTGTAGTTTCCTGTGGTGAGTATTTGTCAGATGAGTTGAAGGCAACAATAAGAGGCATGTGGCTAGTGTTTACCGCGAAAGTTCTGTATTCGAATGCGTATCGGAAGTGACAATTAACTAGGTAAAAGGGAAGTAATTCACTGCGGAACGTGCTTGGCGGGATTCCGCTGGGAGCAAGATGTGGGAGAAGAATCCGAGCGGTTGACACTGCCTACCAACGTGTTATTGGAGAACAGCTAGTATCCCAACGTCTGAAGCGTCATTTGTAAGAGAACGAGGGGTGGACTGTTCGAAGTGAGCGACGAGAGTTATGTTTGAGACAGTAACCTTAAGCTCAGTGAAAGCCGTCTGTGATGTATCGGGAAAAGCGTTTTCTCTGAGAAGGTCAGTCAGGAACTGCATTAGGTGAGTGCAGCGAGGGTTGAAGTGTTGATCGTAGTTGATTAGACTACAAAATCGACGCAGGTATTTGAATGAACTCGGAGTTGAAAAGTCTTTAATAGCCTGAATATTGTTGTACGAACCTCAGTACCAGATGATGAAATCAGGTGGCTTTGGGATATTACCGTAGACTTGCCAAGTTCACACTTCGTCGGGTTAGTGCTGAAACCGTGTTTGGTCAGCTGCTGGAACAGTGATTGAAAGTGATTGAGATGCTCTTCGTCGAATGAACTGCCTGTAAGGACGTCATCCAAGCAACGTTAAGTAAGGTTTAAGTCTCGAGTGACGTCGTGAATGAAGCGTTGAAACGTGTGCGGTGAGTTCTTGAGTACTCGTACAAGCCGAAAGCGATAATGACGGCTGTGTTAGACTTCTTTTTAATGGACAGGTATCTAGTGACAGGCACGAACAAACTCAATCTTTCTGAAGACCGCCTTACTTGTGGCGCATGTACTAATATCCTACATGTGTGAGATGGGGTAGATGTCGGAAGCTGTGAGTTTGTCGATCGTGCGTCGGTCACCACAAGAACGCAAACCTCCGAATTACTTGGAACCATCTGAAATGGAGTGGACCAATGGCGACCATAGGGACGGATTATTAGGAGGTTGAGTCTGAGCTCAAACTCTGCATTAGCTAGCTTCAGTTTCTCCGGTGAAAGACCACGCGATCGTGATGAGAAGAGTTGGCCGTTAGTCCGGATATAAAGCGTGACTCGAGATGCCATAGGGAGAGCTACGCTGATTGGATGAACGAGTGTATGGTAATGAGAGGAGATCGGCATAGTCAGGAAATGTCTCTAGGGGAACGTAGACTGGGGAATTAGCTGCGATGCCGGCGTTGGTGTCAGGGAAGCTAAGCGTCGTTGCGAAATCGTCTATCCACTTTGATTCGCATGGACTAACAGATCGAGACATCTGAGGACGTCTGTGCTGATGACGGCAAAGGAACAACGACACCAGTGAACACCCAAAGGAATTTTCTGCGGAGACCTGTTACTAGTTAACGAGGCTTGTCCGTAGGTAGGAATGAATGTATCACTGGAGGCGCAAATTCTGAGAGGGGCTGGGTGAGTCACCTCTTCAGCTGTGGTAGGAACTCCGCTTACTTCACCCCAGGTATCAAGCATGAATGCGGTTCCAGATTCGAAGTCCTGAGTGCAGAGTAAGCGAAGGCCGGAGCTGCAATCGGCGACCTGTGTGGCCTGGAGTTTCCCCGATTCAGCCAAAGCGTAGTACATCGTGTCGGTTGAGTGTCAAAATGGCAATGTTACCAGAATAGCTTGTTGCGTCGTAGGCTGCCGGGTTTGGTCGACTTGCTTTTAGTTACAGTGAAATGTTGAGCACTGGAGAAGTCTCATGTTCGCAGAGTAGTGCTGCTAATCCATTAAGTACTACGGCAAACTTAGAGAGTTCTAAAGCAAGCGTTGTATGATGTCTGCACGAAGTGGATGGGTGCTGAAAGAATAGAAATATTAATTGTCAGCTGTATACCGTAACGGCGCATCGTTGCCACGCGACCACTACCAGTCGCACGCTGACTGAGTATACTGCGAGGTATACTCCTAAGCGGATTCGAACCGGTAACCTTAAGGTTGTAAATCAGGCACTCATACCATTTGACCACCGGCCGACGGGTGAGTGCTGAGACGAGTTAAAATTTCGGCAAATGTGAAGCGGGTGGCTCTGCGCAACCTACTTGTTTATGGAGATGGTCCATGATCGGCCAGTTGTGCGGCTAGAGTGAAGGAAGGGACCTTAGCGGATATGATCATAACTTAGGCTATTTCAGGTACGGGTTGTATCCATAGCTCCAGTAGGGTGGAATTAGCAATTGCAGACAGGCCGATCAGTCTCTTCATCTCACCTGGCAGGGCCGATGGCTTTATCGCTCAGATGCAAGCCAAGGAAACGCCGTTTGATTCTGTACTCTCTGATTTCTCCAGTTGGGTCACGATCGCTTGCTGCGGAAACTCATAAGAAAGACCTGTATTTTTCATTTGAAAGTGTTTCTGAAATGTAAAACAACGTTCGCAGGAAGGCAACCTTGCAGATGACTACAAGTAGATTTGTCGGAAATAATACTGTCACACAAACCTCAGATTCTAAGAGGACAAACATAAAAGGTCATCAAATAGTACAGGATGAACAAAGTGCAACGTAACATTACCTGTTGACTCGATAATATTAGTACCTGAGCGAGCTATAAAACCTCACAAAAGTTGTAAAATGGCAATTACAGGAAATAAAGGCACAACTCCAACACTAATAGTTCTGAGATAGGGGAACCGTGTTGGCGGTTTTGGTCTCCAAGTGTGGGGTGTTACTCAGATAATAATTGTATGCGATGAAACGTAAGGGGCCGGTGGCCGGTGGCCGAGTGGTCTGCACGTTTGCTTTGCAACCATAAGGTCTCCGGTTCGAATCCGCGTAGGAGTGGGCGTTCTCGCGGTATACTCAGCCCGCGCGCGACTGGTGGTGGTCGCGCGGCAGCGAAGCGCCGTTACGGCGTACAGCCGACACATTGTTATTGTTTGTTGTTGGGTGCAGATAAGCGAGAGCAAAGAGTAGAGTAGCAGCGCAACTCACCGGTGAAGCGAAAGCGGACTGGATGTACAATCAGTAAAACAAAGGGACGGTTACAAAATACTGATTCAAATCCATTGTCGTAAAATACTGGAAGAATGAATGTCCCAGTCCATCCAATACGAGAGAACTAAATTCCTTGGTTATCATGAAATCTGTTAAAATACATGTGGCGTTGAGTTCCGTCTGATTCTCTCTTTTCTCGCATACCTAGATGATCAGCTGGCAATACTGTACAATGACGCATCAGTGCTGGAAAACCACCATTTAGCAGTGGCGTTTCGGCTACTGACCAGACCAGGATGTGATCTGTTCGAGAATATTCCAAGAAAGCAGCGACTCAGTTTGCGTCGAATGACGATCGATATGGTGAGTCAAAAATAAGGTTTCATTTGAGAGTCTCACATCAACTTGAAACTATGAAAAAAACATTACGTTTGCGTGATTTACACTGTGGTGCCAGAAAATAGTATCTGAATATTCGGTCTGCTGGAGAAGGTTAGATGAGACTTCCCACTAATGAAGTACGAATCTACGACTAAGTAGTAAGCGTTCATTCAACGGTTGCACCTTTCTGTAAGTGCACATGTACGGAGATGATGGATATAAAATTGCAACACAAGGCGATGTAGGCGCCAGAACACTTGTGTAATTCAGTAACGCAAAACCACGGCAGCAAATTCAACATACTGAAATGCCGAAGCTCATCAACAGTACTGGTTAGCAAAATAGAGCATCAAATAAAGAGCAGCCTCAGCAGTATCTGCACCGTAAAGTGGCAGCCAAAATTCATGTGACGGACAGGTGCGAGTCATCGCGAGATTGTGCCGAGCTGAGTCAGAGCGATAATGGAACAATGGTGTATTTGGGGGCAACAAAAGCAATGTTTAACAAGCCACGTTGGTTGGAAATTATTGCGAGGATAAAATTTTACGAGAAAGTGGAAAACGTTTTGGTGGACTCACCATAGACCTATGTAGAATATTGATATTCGCATTTTAAAAGTATGAATCCATAAAGCCATTGGTTACGAGTTTGATAACACACCGTTTGATTATGTTTTATATCCCCATGACTAACAATTATAAAATAATGCCAAATGAGACAACGCATCGCCAACTAGTTTGTTAAATATCGCCAGATTAGGGGCAGTGACAATATAATTTGGGAGAGCGTTCTAAGGCTAGCACACACGGATGGAAAAGCAATTTCTACGACATTCAAACCGGGTATATTATTTAATAATCTGGTAAACGATTATGAGATCCCCCGTAAACGTAGATATTGACTGATGCACATTCTTAAAGACTTCAGTCAAACCTGATAGGGCTGATGGAAGAGTCCCCTGACTCTCCTTGTTGCCGTTTTCTGAGGAGTCTCGAGAGCAACAAGAGTCTGTTTCTTCCACGGCTATCACTCCTATATAGCATTTGCAACCTGCGGTCGCACGTAGGCGTTAAGAATTTGGGGGAAGATTGAGAGTTCAACTAGACCGAAGGCTCTATGAAGAAGGCCAAAGTGTTAACTGCCAGTTCTTGACGCCTAAGCTGCTTGTTTTGTGCATCCGAGATTTTCCTGTTCCAGTACACTCAATTCACGCTCCTGAGAGGCATTCCGCAAGTTGATGTCTCCAGGTTTGTAAACGCGCACCGGCTGGTGAAGCAGCTCTCAGCTATGTTCAATTAGAGCAGGTTTCTTGTTAACCTTTCATAAATGCAAGCTCGGTAATGTTGGAGTAGATCGTGATCTTCACTGTTATTAATCGCGCGCCATATATTGACATGATCGGCGAAAAGCAGGGAATTTGAAGAAATAACTCTTGCCAGGTCTTTGATAAACACTTGGAATAAGCGCGGTCCTAGCACCGAGCCCTGTGGGACATCACATTCAACCTCAGTCGGGTTAGAGAATGATTCCCTGACACGCAATTACCGCTTCCGTTGGCGAATAAAGTTGTCTACCAGACCAAGAACAGGATCTCCGACCCGTAGCTCTGTAGCTTGTAAAGTAGGATGCGGTGATCCAGGCGGTCGAAAGCTTTGGTGAAGTCCAGATGGATGACATCAACTTCGATCCCACCATCATCACTCTGTTCAACTACCTCGTGCCATTAGGAGGTTGGTGGTGCATGGCCGGTATTGACTGAAGCCATGCTGCTCCGGTGCCAAGATGTAGCATTTTTCCAGGTAGTTCATTAGAGCCTCAGTGCCGACTACTTCTACCATCCTCGTGAGCGCAGGGAGGAGAATCACTGGGCGATAGTTTGCAGGATCTTAACTACCACGGTCTATAGTGCTACGCTGTTCATCTAATCATCCTTGGAAATTTATGGCAGTGGTTTAACTAGCTTGGTAGTCGCAACCTTCAATATTTTCGGGCTAATGTTGTCTGCTCTCGGCGAGATATGATCATGCAGTGAGAGTAACTTCCTTAGCACAACTGATGCGTTGAAAATAACAATGGAGTCGGTAATGTCTGACTTGATGGGATAGGTAGAGACTGCGAGTTCGAAATTTGGGGCGTGTTCTGTCCGCAGGGCAGTAGCTGCTTCTTCGGCGCTTTGTACTCTACCGCCTGGTATGAAAAGTGAAGGGATGCCATGCTTTACTTTCCGAAGACTGCTGACATGCCCATACAGCAGTTTGTTGTTTGCCGGGAATTTTAGGCTAGGCACTGTTATAAGCTACTTTGTCCTCACGGACAAGTGCAGTGCGTTGTTTGCGAGGGGTCAAGAAGTTGACCCCAGGCTCAGAGTCTGGGTTAAATTTGTAGGCACGTCATGCTGCATTCCTTATCGCCATGCATTTTCGAGTCCTGCTCCTTAGAATTAAAGGCAGTTTTGCGGGACGAAGGAGCTTGGTCTCTGATGGTTTGCTGACCATGTTGCTGATCCTTTTAACGAACTCCGTCCAAACGTTGTCAATGGGACTGTTGTTCGAGTATTCCAAAGCGGATGAAGCAACGAGTTCTTTCAAGACGTGATATCAAATGATTGTATGAGTTTGTTCCGAGTGTGCACATGGATACTCTGCATAACACAGATAGTTGAACGTTATTAATTCATGGTCGCTGAGACCCAATGGACTCTACATCAATCATTTGTCAACCACGAAATCTTCATTCGTGAGCACATGGTCCAATATGGAGGGTATGTTTGCTGTCCTGAATCTAGTGGGCGTAGCGACATAATTGGACAAGGGAATATTAACGATAAGTTCATGCAAGTCTGCTTTGAACTGTTCATTGTGTGATGCCGATTCCTCCAGCTTGTGTAGCTTAAATTTCTCGTAAATGAGAATGTGGCTGCACCTATTGCATGTTACCCAGTTCAAGGCAAGGTAGTGGATGTTGAGGTGCGGTAAACGAAAGCTACGAGACATGCGTCGTTGTGTCTTAGTCAAGGACACCAACAGAGTGAGTCGGTAACATGTATTTCAAGATCATCTATTATTACACGTTGCGTGTCGCTACTGTAGTAGATTAGGACCCCACCTCCTCTGCTGGGGTAGTCGTTTCGGATGAGTGATATCCCTGCTATTTCAACCTCAGCATCAGCCACCTCTTTGTGCAATCATGGATCGGTAATGGAAATTAGGCCCCAAACATTCGCAACCTGAGATAGCCGCAGTTCGGTAAATTTACTGAGGAGTGCTTTGGTGTTAGAGTACATACATGAAACTTTCAGCTTAATCAATGTTTCGGAGGTTGTGCAAGTCATACATGAATTTTCGTCGACCAGTGAGTGTCCGGCGACTGATCGATTTTTTCGGCGTGTACTTGGCGTAGAGTCAGTCGTCTTATTCACTATCTGCGTAGTTAGTCCAGTAGCAAATCTCTTACATACAGCGTAAGGTGTCTGGCGAAAAGCAACATCTACAGGTTGTATGGGCTCATTAGACACTACCGGTTCATTGTACATTTTAGATCCCATCGCGCTTGGTTCGATGAGTGACATAGCATCTCTAGAGGGCCTATCGCTGACTGTTTTTAGCCAAAGCTCAGATGGTAGCCTGCAGCGAAACATGTACCAGATTTTAACAGGCTTACAAACATTTGTTTTGACTGTAGGACCCCCTGCAACACTATCGGACCACATCCGTGGTAGTTCGGTGAGGTACGCAACCGTGACACCAATTTCGCTAGCACAGCATCCAAGCAGAATGTTTCGCGAATATAACACCATTGTTCTTTATTATAGGTTATTAGTTCATGCTCATCACATACTTCATTTGCAGGAACCCCTTGAAGAAGAATGGTGCTGGTCAAACTTTCCTTCCTGTAGTCCTCTAAGGTGCGGTTACTTCGACAACGCTCGCCCCATGTGAGAACTGAAAAGCTTCGGATGGAACAGTGTTCATTGCTTAGTGTATGTGTCGACAGTAGAACTGATTCTGCTTCAGTGATGGAGTTCAGCACAACGCACAAAAGTCTGGACTCTCTGTATTGCTTAATGTTGAGGTTCCGCGTAATACATACTACGTGTGCAGGTTCCAGTACAACTCCGATTAGGCTACTAATAATGTCCCACCGGTTGAGGTCACCCCACTGCCTGCCTCTTATTGATGTCGAATTTGATTCTGGGACATTAGAACACAGTACGCTCAATACAGGTAATTGGTTATTTAAACCTTTCGACATGTCACGGTTAGTGATTGAAAAACTCGGGGATGTGCCGTAAGAAACCAGCGAAACACTGCTTCGCCTCTTAGTTTCTGATCCAGCTGTAGGCGCTGTTAATGTTAAGTGATGGCTCTACTTTGAAACAACCGTAACCCAACTTTTGATAGTATCGGATTTCTATTTTCGATGCACTCCGTCGGGAGATTGGAAGTAGTCATACGTGTAGTCACTCCGATCAAACGGAGACCTGATTTAGTCAAATGTGAGCCACGGATGGTGTGGAACAGCAGTTGATTTTCTAGGCTATTGGTATCGTTTTGCTTAAAGTATTCCTAGCCATTCTTTTCAGGATAGAAGCAGCATTTACTGAGGAGGCTTGAATTGCACAATCCGCTATGCCAACTCAAATTATGATGATTTTGGTGGTCACCATCTCCTCAAACTTGGCTGATAGATGGTCGTACTTTTGAGATGATAGAAGCACCTCTTTTATCAGTGGGATAGTTTTGCGTTCCTTGTAGATGCATTGAGAAGCTGGTTTGTTTAATGACTTGGTCTGACTAGATTTAACTCGGCGACACCTCGCATGGGAAATCTTGCAACAGTGGCGACACAAAGTGTCTCCCTAACAAGTTTGGCACATGATCCACATAGGCCATTAGGCGGTGGCACGCTGGGCAGCACGCTTGTTGAGCAAAGGTTACGAACTATTAGAATGACTCACCCTCGATGGTAAGTGGTTGTTCTGT